GCTGTGGTTGTTGGCACAGCTGTGGTTGTTGGCACAGCTGTGGTTGTTGGAGCGCCAGTGGTTGTTAGTGGGGCTGTGGTCGCTGGAGCGCCTGTGGTTGTTGTTGATGCTCCGGCGGTTGAGCTCTGTGCTGCAGCGACTGTAAGGCAAACCAATTTTGAAAATTTATAGACATTTTCTTATTTCCCTCATTTAAAATACTTTAATTGGGGGAAAATTAGTTTATATTACCAGAAAACAGAAGTAGAATCATGCAAATCCTTGGAATCATTGTGGTATTCATAATTTTCTCTGGTATCTGGGGAAAAAAAATAGAAAAAGTAATGAGCATCAAAATATAATTTTTATTTCCACTGTGAATAACAAAGTTAATCTAATTGGAAATTTGTGTGTTTTAAAGGTGCTGAAGGCCATGGTATCAAAACTAATCAAAATACAAACTTAGGTTTTTAATAGACAGTACATTTGTTTCATTGTTTCTGTTGGAAATCTTTTTTTAAAAAATCTGTTAACATTCTTGACACCAAGTTAAGTTATTAATTTGTTTTTAATTCTTTGTTTGAATTTTAATTGTAATGAAATAGAAAAATATATCCAAGAGACATGTTACATACATAAAAAACTTCATATTACTATGAGTAAAATACAGGACATTTTCAAAAATACTAGTAGGTGTAGGATACTCACAGATGATCTCTTCTTCTGAACTTGTTCTTCACCGATGACTTGTTCTTCACCAATGACTGTTTTCTCATATTTTAACTCCTCTTTTATAGTCAGAAAAAAACAAGATTACGTCAGGATACTCCCAAGGTGTAGCTCTGGTCTATTGATGGTCAAGGTGTGGTAACACGTTTTTTTAGGCTTCCACACATGTCAGAGTATGATGACATGTGTAAGAAATGCCAACCTGAAACTATAAATCTAAAATTGCTACAACATGAAAGACATGAAAAACGTCATCAGAATGTCATTATAAGAGCTTGAAGAGTATTTTTCAAGTCATCCATTCAGATAAAAAAAAAAGCTGTTTGTGAAGATTTTCTGTTGATATGGGAATAACCTCTTAAATATTTAAAAGGACTAGGACATCTTCTATAGCTGACTATGAGGAATTATATACTTCTATCGGTTTTTCACAAAGTACAATGAGCAAATTCACTTAAAGAAAAATGTAATCCTGAACCTAATCTTGCTACATCCTGTTTGCATTGTTGTCATTTGTGTTGCATTTACAATTAAGTCTGTGAAAAACGGAAAAACAAGTTAAGAGACAAAGGTCAAATGCACTGACAATCCAGAAAATGTTGCTGGCTATATTATTTACTCATCTGGCAACAGTAATATATATATATATATATATATATATATATATA